ACCCACTGCTGCGGGCAGCTCGCCTCGAAGGAGCGTCGCAGCGCCTGGCACCGGGAGGCGTCGTCCGCGTGCTCGTCCAGGCACTTCCAGAACTCGTCCCGGGCGCCCCAGCAGACCTGCCGCTCCTTCATGGTCGGCGCCGCCATCCCGCGGGCTCCTGCCGGAGAGCAACACGGGCCGTGAACGAGGGAAGGAAAACACGGCGCTTCCCACCAGCCCCGCTCTTCTCAGTTACGCCTTGGTGTTTTTTTTTTTATTTTAATTCAGTGGTTCTCAACCTTCTGGCCCTTTAAATACAGTTCCTCATGTTGTGACCCCCAACCATAAAATTGTTTTCGTTGCTACTTCATCACTGTCATGATGCGAACTGTTAAGAATCGTCAGGGGACGTTTCCCAAAGGTCAGCCTGATGCAAGCCAACGGCCTGGCTGACCGCACAGGGTGCCCTCTGCTGCTCGGGTCCCTGCCGGGGCCCACACGCCCAGGCCGACACCTCATCTCGCAGCCCCCAACTCAGCACCTGCCCCCGACACCCCCCGCCCCCCGCTAGCAACCTCCGTGCGTTTCAAAGGCAAAGAGAACCCCGTCCGTCCACGGGCGCTTCGCTTACCCACTGCTGCGGGCACCTCCTTCTGCCATGAAATAAAAGAGCTGGACTGTACCTTTTCCTTCCCAGGCATCAAAGGCATCCATCATTTTCTTCAGTTCTGCTGCTGAGTAATAGCTCCAGATGTACTGAACATTATTGCCCGCCTCTCTTTTCTTTCTCCTTTGGTTCAAATGTTCTTTCTCTGCCTCCCACTGCTCTAGAGGGGTATTTGGTAAGAAATTGCCCCAGCTTCATTTGAAAGCCCATCCTTTTAATTCAGTGGTTCTCAACCTTCTGGCCCTTTAAATACAGTTCCTCATGTTGTGACCCCCAACCATAAAATTGTTTTCGTTGCTACTTCATCACTGTCATGATGCGAACTGTTAAGAATCTCATGTAAATATCTGATCTGCAGGATGGTCTGAGGCGACCCCTGGGAAAGGGTCATTGGACCGCCAAAGGGGTGGCCGCGACCCACAGGTTGAGAACCGCTGTTTGATGTCAGAGAAGAAGGGAGAAACATCCATGATGAGAGAGAATCATAGATCGGCTGCCTCCTGCACGCCCCCCACTGGGGATCGAGCCGCCACCCGGGCACGTGCCCGGGCGGGGAATGAACCCTGACCTCCCGGTTCATAGGTCAACGCTCCACCCCGGAGCCAGGCCGGCGGGGCTGCCTGAGGATTTCCATGGAGCAGCTGAAAGTAATCAGCCCGCAGCGCCTGCACCGGAGCAGCTGACCGCGGGCAGGGGGGAAGGGGGGCGGGTCAGCGCCACGCTCCCGTGGTCGGTCACGGAGGGGCGCTCGCTTACTCTCCAGCCAGTGTCCCCGTCGGTTAAACGGGGCAGCGGCGCCCCCTTCCCCAGGTGCTGTCCGCACCAACCCGCTCTCCCTCCAAATGAGCGCGCGGGGCGAAATCAACACGCCGGACACGGCGCG